GAGGGCCAGATAAGCAAGGAAAAATGAGTAGAAGACACGTCTGAGAGATGAGAAGATGTTGAAGAGGCTCTTGTCAGTTGGCTGTGATGTCAGTAATGCAGGTCAGCTACCGAGTGAGGAGCTAACAGCGGAGTTGGGGACGTACAGAAAGTGGAATTCCTGCCTATGGTACCGAAAGTGGCCAACTGCAAAGAAAAGAACTGCTAAATAGTACTTCTAACCACTGAGGATGACCAGGATCAGTCTCCTGTGGAATTCATTCTGTGGCTTTCTTCAGCATCACTTGAAAGGCGGAAAGTAGCAATAGGAAAAAAAAATGTGTGATTGAGGCTCCGCTGGGCACTGGCCATGGGGGTAAACTGGAAAGATAAGAATAAAAGAATTCTAGAGTGTTACTGAAAACAGATTACAATTCCCTTAGAGGATATTTTCTGAGAACCTATTACATGCCAAGCACTATGCTAGATGCTAAAGATTTACTGGTGATCAAGATGGGTAAGTTCCTTCCTATCAGAGATTTTAAAGTCTAATGAAAGGGGCAACTAGGTGGTTCAGTCAGTTAAGCGTCTAAGTCTTGATTTTGGCTCAGGTCATGATCTCAGGGTCATGAGATAGAGTCCCATGTTGGGCTCCCCACTGAGTGTGGAGCCTGCTTGGGGTTCTCTCTCTCTCCCTCTGCCTCTCCCCCGCCACGCACACATGTGCATGCACACTCTAAATAAATAAATAAAAAGTTTAATGAAAGATAAAGACATAAGGAAGAATAATACTGATGAATGCTGTATGTAATGGGGAGTAGTTCTTACCTGGGGGCAATTCAGCATGCATGCACACATATACACACGCATGCACATGGACATATGCACGCACGCGCACACATGTACACGTGCACATGCACACACGCACACATATACACACGCACGCACACGGACATACGAACGCACATACACACGCACACATGCACACACATGCACACATGCACGCTCACATATACACACATGCACACGTGCCCATATACACATGCATGAACATAGACATATGCACGCACATGCACACATGCACACACTCATATACACACATAGGCACACGCATATACAAATGCATGCACATAGACATATGCACGCACATGCACACACGCACACGTGCACATGCACATGCACACACATGCACATACATAGGCACACACACATGCACACACATGCACACGTGCACATATACACACATGCACGCGCACATATACACACATAGGCACACAATACACATACACACATGCAAATAGACATGTATGCACATGCACACATACACACGCATGCACATAGACATGCATGCACATGCACACACACAGGCATGCGCACATATACACTACGCATGCACACGGACATAGGCACGCACATGCACACACACACACGCACATATACACACATGCACGCACACGTGCACATGCACGGACGCACACGTGCACATATACACACATAGGCACACGTGCACACACATGCACACGTGCACGTGCACACACACATGCACGCACATGCACACACACATGCACATGCACACACACATGCACACACACCCGTGGGAACCCCTCACAATATATGGAGACATCTCTGGTTGCCAGAACTTGGGGAAGAGGAGGTATGCTACCGGCATCTAGTGAATAGAGGCCAGAGATGCTGCTAAAAATCCTATGATGTGCAGGCCATACAAGCTCTAAAACAAAGAATTATGTAGTCCAAAATGTCAATAGTGCCACGGTTGAGAAGCCTTGCTATGAAGACACATAAGAGGTATATCAAGTCTAGGCATGGGAGATCAGAGATTTTCTAGAGAGAGCAGCAGACCTGAAAGATGGAGAAAATATCTAGGTGGGGAGTGAGGAATTTGCATGGCAGGTCCAAACACCCAGGGGCTGTAACAGAAGCGCAAAACCAGGGCAGTAGTAGCCGTCACCATCAGAGGCGCTAGCTCTTGAGGAAATACTTTGTGCCAGAGTTTCTACAACATAATGGATACACATTTTAAAATGGAGTCCTTGGGGCGCCTGGGTGGCTCAGTCGGTGAAGAGTCTGCCTTCGGCTCAGGTCATGATCCCAGGGTCTTGGGATGGAGTCCCACGTCGAGCTCCCTGCTCGGCGGGGAGCCTGCTTCTCTCTCTGCCCACTCCCCACCCCCACCACCCAGCTCTGCTCACTCTCTTTCTCTCTCTCTCTCTGATAAATAAAATCTTTAAAAGTATAAATAAAATAAAATGCAGTCCTCACTAACAATCCTCTAAGTCAGATATTACTTCCATTTGACAGATGAGGAAAAACTGCAGCCCGGGGAATTAAGTAAGCTGTCCTAGGTCACCCAGCTGGGGAAATGGTGCAGCTGAGAGTTGAACTGAGGTCTGCTAACTCTAACAAAGACCTCACCCAACCCCTAAAGTCGACTGCCTTTCCAAGCTGACAGGGGCCGAGTCTGTTGGAGGACAGTACTAACGAAGCCCATGCCAGACCGCAGAAGTATGCCAAAGGGCTTAGAGACTGTCCTGAGGCAGTGGGCAATCTGAGACAGATTGGAAATCGAAGAATCACAGGATCAAATCTGCCTCGAAGAAAGGTCCCTTCTGGCTGCAGTGCAGTGTAGGGAACGCAGCAAAGGATAAGGATGTTGTAATTCATAAACCCAGAGATAACGGTGTCCTGAACAAGAAAGGTGACAGTGAGGAAAGAATTCAAGAAGAGTTCAGAAACTAAGATTTGTACTTAGTGATTGGTGGGAGGTCAGCATGAAGGAGAGAATGGCAACCAGCTTTCAGGTCAGGGACGATGGTGGACAGAGGTGCTGTCCCAAAGAGAGCACAGCAGCATTGGGGAGCAAATGTCGTGAGTTCAGTTGGGGATGTAAAGTTCATATTTAAATGGAAGGGGGGGCGCCTGGGTGGTGAGGTTAGTTAAGCGTCTGACTCTTGATTTCGGCTTGGGTCGTGATCTCAGGATCATGGGATCAAGCCCTGAGTCGGGCTCTGTGCTCAGCAGGGAGTCTGCTTGAGATTCTCTCTCTCTCTCTCCCTCTCCTTCTGCACCCCCCCCGCCGCTTGCGCACGTGCTCGCTCTTTCTCAAATAAATAAATGTTTATAAATGAAGGAAGGAAGGAACGAAGGAAGGAAGGAAATGGAATGGGACGGGAGAAGAAGAAGACCAACCTGGACACAACAGATAAAACAAGACAGGAGAGGAGACTGAAGAAGCAGAGGCAGGAATGAGGACACTGAGGAGGTTTAATGGTGATAGGGAGGCAGAGGGAAGCGCTGGGCAGAGGTAGCAGATGCAGAGTTCGAGACACCATGGACACGTCGGTTCAGGTGACAGTTACCGTAGGAGAGGGGAGATGTTAGAGGTGAGCAAGCCCAAGTGTGTTGGGACCATGGTGTTGCATGTATTAACAACATGGATGTAGAAAGCTTTCAGGATGATCAAAGGAGGTAGGCGGAGGGTTCTGTGGACTGAATGTGCCCCCCCAAATTCATGTGTTGAAACCTAAACCCCAATGCGATGGTATTAGGATGTTTGGCCTTTGGGAGGTGATTAGGTCCTTAGGATGGAGCCCTCATGAATAGGATTAGTGCCCTTATAAAAGAGGCCCCAGAGAGCTCCCTCACCCCCCGGCCATGTGAGGCCACAGAGCAAGAAGACAGCCAACTATGAGCCAGGAAGCATGCCCCCCCCAGACAGCAGCTCTGCTGGTGCCCTCATCTTGGACGCCCCAGCCCTCAGAACTGTGAGAAATCAATGTTTGCTGTTGAAGCCGCTCAGGCTATGGTGTTTTTGTTCTAGCAGTCTGAGCAGACAAAGACGAGGGGGGAAAGGGTCAGATGCTAATGCTCTTAAAAGGAGTCAAATAGCCAACAACTACTTTATAAACCCAAGTGATAACATGGATGAGTTTCTTTGAAAAACAGTGTCAAATAGTGACACTGTGACAAACAGTGATTGAGAGTTTATATGGATTAAAATTAGGGAGAAGAGAGACCATGATGATTTCAAAGAGGACTGGTCACTAACGAAGAGGATAAAAGAAAGGCCTGGAACTGGCAGTAAGGAGTGGAGTGCATGCTCATTCCTCCATTACAGCCAGATGAGATGATATGAGCAGCAAAGGGCCTTCACTGGAGGGCTTGAGGGTCACGGTATCATCGAGGGACAAGAGTTCAGTACAAATGAACAACCAGGAGTGTTTGAGGAAGACAAAGCCCATTAGGGAGTTTGGTCAGAATGGACATAAGTTTCAGAGGCATAGGGGCATTAGTCACGGAAGCAATGAGGGTCAGTGGTCTGGGAAGAGCCAGGGATGAACTGGGTTGAGACCAAGCAACAAGGAAGTGACTGAGGAGCTGACTATAGGGGGGAAGAGCCCCATACCTTAATAAAATACTGATGCTGAGGTGCAGCACCCAAACACAGCAATCAATCAACAAGAACCTCCTATGATTCAAAGTGCCTGCAACACCACCTGACTATGAAGTGCTAACGATTATTGTCACTGTCATTCAGTGTGTATGACTTAGCATCCATGGATCCAGACCCATTTATAGCCAAATATGCTATTCAATACACATATATTATTTATTATCTGTGGCATGTCTGGACGTTCTCAACATTTTCCCAGGCAGAGGGGAGAAACATTTGTCAGCCATCATACATGAACTCATACGAATGGTGTTAAGGTTTTCACAGTGTTCAAAATTATCAGCAAATGAAGAGATGAAGTGTGCAAATCTCTCCACGCACTTTCCCACGTGGTACTACATTCTCTGACTAGTGATATAACAGAAAGATTTGCAGAGGAAGAAGAATTCTACCAGTAACTGTTTCATTTCACAAAGTCAACATTAACAGATTGGCATTCACTTTGCATGTTCGGAAGAAAGAGTTTAGTCATGGAAGAGTAACCACAGAAATACTTTGGAAAAGAAAACGGCAGTTACGGTGTGCCTTTATTTTGGTCTTCCGAGACTTGCCTTGGTTTTCTCGAAGTTGGCCTCTTCGGTCATCTGCATAGCCTGTTTCACCTGCTCATAAGCACTGGCTTCTCTTTGCTGTCCGTCTGTCAAGCTGCTCCTGACGGAGACCAGCGCAGACATTAAGTCATCCCTTTCCCTGTCAGCACAGAAAGAACATTCGAAACAAGACATGGTCAAATGATCATGTATTCATAAGTGAGGAAGAGAAAGGCATTAGCATGTGGTGGAAGAAGAGCCGGGGGGGGCCGGCTCGGCACATGGTAGAGCACGCCAAGAGAGAGACCCTCTGCCCTCCCTTGGTGAGGGCCAGGCAGAGCAGCCAGGAAGGCTGGGCATTCATGGCAGGGCTGCATCTGCATGGGACAATAACCTATTGTGGGGAGGACCACCCCACCGTGGGCTGCAGAGTAAAGCCCAGAAAAGAGGAAGTTCGTTTAAAAATTAGAAGGGTGGGGGGCTGGGAGAAAAAAGGAGTAAGACAGAGAAGGCAAGGACTCTACCTCAAAGTGGAAGTTAACATGTTCAGGGGCTACTAAGGTCTTGTCTACACTGCTGACACCCCTCTCGTTTGTCTGAACAAATAGGTCTTTGCCTGTTTGTCTTCCTCCACAACCCCCTTTTCTGCCCTTCTCTTTCAATGAAATTCTTTCACCTACTTATGAACACGTTTCTTCTTTCAATGGGGAGGACTGCTGAATCCCTTAACTGCCCTGGTCACGCAGAGAACACTCAGGATTTAACAAAATCTCATCCCACTGGCTTTGATCGCTGCCTGGCCCCACACCCTCATCAGCAATTCTCAGAAGTCCTCTAAGCTAACTATTTCTTGGGGATAGATGCGACCAGAAGCCAAAAAACTTTGGCATGTAAACTAGCAAAGATCCAATCTCATGGGTTAAATAAATCCCATAGAAGATTTTAGAATATTTGGAACTTATCCATTGGATAAAAATGATCACTAGACCAAAGAGAAAATGAAGTGGGAAACTTTCTATACACATACAAAGCAAAAAAAAAAAAAAAAAAAAAAGTAAGTTGGACGTCTCTGTCTGCTATTCCACTCTTTGTTAAAGAGCTCAAGTTCTAAACTGTGGTTTCAAATTCAGTTCAAGTAACTGCTTGCAGTTTCCTTTTTTTTGCCAAGTCCTAAACTACCAGGAAAGAGCCAACTCTGATTTTTTTTTAAGTTTAGCAACCTTGAAGGAGAAATAATTTCAAAGGTTATAATCTGAGTTTGAGTTGCTTTCAGAATGAACCAGTGACACGATTTAAAAAAAATTTTTTTTTTTTTTTAGATTTTATTTATTTGACAGAGAGAGCAAAAGCAGGGGGAGCGGCAGAGGGAGAGGGAGAAGCAGACACCCCACTGAGCAGGGAGCCTGATGTGGGGCTCAATCCCAGGACCCCGGGATCATGGCCTGAGCCGAAGGCAGACGCTTAATTGACTGAGCCCCCAGGCACCCCTAAAAAAATCTCTTAAAGATAAAATAATTCAAACTATTTGTGGTATTTGGAAAGCATTCATATTTTAAGAAATATGTAATACTGAACAAAGTTACAATTATTAGCAGTTTCATAAAAGCCCGTTTTGTTTAGAAAAAAAAGAATGGCTTCAACTATCGTAAAATTCATGAGCATAGTGATCTTCATTTTAGAATTTCCTGGTGTGTTTTGAATTGAGAAAAATAATTTACTCTTTCTTTTGTTCTAAAGGAAATGAAAATAGGAGTTAATTATTTTGATCAAATATAATCAAACACAATGATTATGTGAAAGAGTAGAAGAATCAAACTAAGGTTAAATCATTCTCGTTAAGTCAAACACAGATTACTTGAAGGCAAAGTGAATTTATATTTATTTGCATTTCAAAAAAGCTCTAACATAAAAGAGTACTAGCTTCATTGAGAATATGCAGTCCAACTAGAACGTATGACTCTAGAAAATAATTCGCTCCTTAAGGACAAGTCAAAATGGGCATCAGATCGTCACCTTTCTTACAGTTGTAAGTCGGACTGAGAAAGCATTCAGTGATGCTCTGATCTCTTTGTGATGCCATGCCCTCACTGAAGCCAAGGTTCCAACTAAAAGTATTAACAGAAAAGCTCTGTGTAGATAGTATGCTGACAGATCACAACAGGATCAAAATTGAACAAATCTGTTTCTTACAGGAGACTTAACACTTAATACATTTAATCTCTTTTCAGTATGTCCTCTTGCTGAGAGGTGTTTGCCACATTAGCACATACTCAGTGGAATAAAGGATAAAAGACCAAACAAACAAGTAGTGACTCTGCCATAGGAGGGCATCAAAAGAGGTAAAGTAAAACTCCTCCCAGTTCTAATATCTTAGGATCTAGATTTAAAAAGTCACTAGGCTGTTTAGAATTGGAGACTAAAGAGTTTAGGTGTTCTGGTTCAAAAACTTTTCAGACTATCAGCTCATCAAGTTCAGATGACAGACAATCATCAAAGATAAACACCCCCAAATACTGATGTCTTGTTAACCTCATCATTCAACAGTGAACCCATGAAATGATGATACTAAACATCTGTATGGCCACACTCCAATTTTCTGGAAGAGAAATGTACCCATGCTTTAAGGCGACCCTCAGATCAGCTGGGAAGCTCCAGAGAGATGCTTAAATTGCACACACACTTATAGGTGCAGGAACCATCTTGATAATTTAGGATTATCCACTCAGTCCCTACATTTTTTGTTTTGCTTTGTTTCAACTCAGTCAGCCCATAACCAAATAGCAAGCACTTGAAACAGACACAACTCTGGGCATGTTAACCCTGTCTTCAACACAAGGCCTTGCTTCCAGTCCCATTCCTAGGTCACCTTCTTGATTTAGCTCCTTTTTTAGCTCCAGCCCCAACCCTACTCCGCCTTATCTGGCCTTCAGGAGCAGTCAATCCTGGCCACGCTGGAGAACTACCCGGGCCGCTGCAGGCCTGCTCCAGAGCTCCCAGTCCACAAACCCAGCCCAGAGCCTGGCCCGAGTGCACCTCTCCCAGTGGGAAGCTGTACAAATGCACATGACCTACCAGTGTGTGAGGTGGCGGTTTGCCAAATCACCATCTGCAATGGCCAAAGGTCTGCGAGTGCTTCAAGAGCACCACCTAAGTGTCATCAAGGAGTTTTTCGAAGCAGAGCAAGCAACACGGCATCAACATTGCCACATTCCACGATCAAAAGACCCCTGAAAGAGCAGCCAAGGCACAAGTCGAGGCAAGGAGCGGGTGCGAGTTCTGGGATGAACCAGCTAATGAGCGTGGAGTATTTAAGGAATTTAGTGCAACAATCAGAGCAACAAGGGCTGAGAAAGTCCCTGAATAATCTGGGTCAGATGTTTAAAATAAGGAAAAGGGAGAGTTGGTCTGATATATGAGCATGAGCTTCATCTTGAAAGATAAGGTGTCTAAGAAATGCCTGAAATTTCTCAGTTATTCCACAGTGAGTACCAGTTTCAAGCATCATTAAGCATCATTAGTATTATCCCTGTCTTTTAAAAGCAAGTCTAGAAGGCTGACTACAACATTTCCTTGTTCCTCATTTCTGGGAAGTTCCTGCCATAGTCTTTCAAAGCCAACTATACACCACATTGCCAAGACCCACTCAAAATTCACAAGCTGGGCTAATGTCCCAGGATAGTACAGTAGTAATCACTTCTCCTTTCTAAACGGTACTCTGAAACTTCTCCAAGACACTAGGAGCTATAGAAAAGGATCAAATTACAAAGCAGTTCCATTCTGATTATCATTTGAAGGTGTTTTGATCACTACTCAAGAAAGAGAGTTTACTGTCATTGCTCTTACTTACCTCAAGGCATAATGAGGCCTGAGTGAAAGGCAGAAGTTCAGAAACACTAGGAGGACTTCAAAGCAACTTTTAAAATGTATCCAATGTCATCAACAGTTGTTAAGTATACTCTCCAAAAAGTCCTTATGGTCCTAACACAATGCCACAAACATACTGGTTGTCTGATCTCGAGGTCATGCCTGATCCTGTCCCTTTCAAGTGCTCGAGGCGCTCCTGTCATATAGCCAATACATTCTGTGCTAAAGGTTCAACAGAGGAACTTAGAGCTCGTGTCACAATGCCACATTTCAAGTAGAGGCCAGAAGATTCTTTTGATTCATCATATTTGGGATATAATTTTTTAAAATTCCATCTTAGAGTCCTGCAGGAAATTCTATGATACAGCTTACTGAGGGTCCGGGCTTCTAATTATGCAGAAAACTAGAAATCCAGACCTAAAAAGTGCTGGCCACTCTTCAAAGGCAGCATAACTCTCAATATTCAGCCTTCTGTATTAATAAGTTGGAAGAAGCTGAACACCAGCTGAGGCCAAAGGAATCCTATAGACAAAGGTTTCATTGACAATAAAAGCAGGAGCCTTCCACTGTACTCTGTTAGGAAAGCAGAACATGAGCTCATGATATGCTGACAAAGCAGAAAATCGAACAGAGAAGGCTGACATTTATTTTAAAAGGCTAAGAGCGAAAATGTAGAATAGTCACAAAGGAATACATAACCAAGGAAGAATCTGATTTCTAAATGACTGCCAGCCTTGAAATCAATGTAAACATTGTAGCTTCCTCTTAAAATATTTTTCTCATGACCTACAAGGATAATATGAAAGGCAATAGGGGAAAAAAAATGCTGTCTTTTATTTATTGGTTTGGCTATGCTAGATCACTTAGTGAAACTCTGTTTCTCTTCATCTGTATGACTTTGAATATGCTTTTTGCCCTTTTTAAATGAATTTTTCATTATATTTTCCTTGTAAATGTAATTACCAACATGGGTAAAGACCCACTTGACACCTACTTTCGATTTTGGTGCCTTCCTCCCCCTCTCCAGGGGTAATCCCTGTTAAATATTGGGTGCTTATTCTTTCAAACCTTTCTCTGTGCCTATGTATGAACCTGGAGAAAATACATAGTATGGTTGTGCATGGGCTTTTTTTAAAAAATAAAAATACAAATGGGTTTCATTTCAGATGTGTTTTTTTCATCTTTATTTTTTCCCCTCAACAACATATTGTGGAGCTTAGTCCCACATTAGTACATAGAGATCTACCTCACTCTTTTTCTTTTACTGTGCATAACATAATTTATCTAAACCTTTGAAGGGTATTTAGGTTGTTCGCACCTAAAAGAAACACTTCTTTTCCTCCAGTTTCTGTACTCACAACACTTCTGACACCTATGTGTGCATTTTCCACACCAAGCAATTTTCTAATTCTCAGTTGATACTAACTCAATTGGGACATTAATTTCCTGGAGTCAGCGGAGACCCCACAGGTTAGTGCTCAGTCCCATAAGAACTGTCCCCCCGCCCCGCTTAGGTGCCAACTGCAAGTCCCAGATGGTCACGTGTACTTCTGAGCAACTGGCCATAAGTCAGGGGTTCTCATGACCCCTTCCACAGCCTTGATAATTTGCTACGACAGCTCACAGAACTCAGGAAAGTGCCTTACTTACTATTTCCCATTTACTATAAAGGATACAAGTCACAAAGGGCTAAATGGAAGAGATGCACAGAGCAAAGTGTGTGGGAAGCAGAGTGGAGCTTCCATGCCCTCTCTGGGTGTGCCACCCTCTCAGCACCTTGATATGTTCACCAAGCCAGAAGCCCTCCAAATTCCACAGTTTAGGGTTTTTAGGGAGGTTCTTTAGGCATGATTGATAAAATCATTAGCCATTGGTGATTGAACTCAATCTCTAGTCCCTGCCTACTCCCCAGAGATTGGGGAATAGGGGCTGAAAGTTCCAATCCTCTAATCACATGGATGGTTCCCCTGGTGACTAGCCTCCCCCATCCTTAGTGGGTTTCCAAAAGTCATCTCATTAACATAAACTCAGGTGTGGCTGAAAGGAGCTTGTAAGAATAACAAAAGATGTTGCTTTCACCTTGATGTTCCAGATCTATTTCAGGAGCAGGGGACAGAAACCAAATTTAACAAAGGATGTTCCTATTGTTCTTATCATTTAAGACATTACAGGGGTTTTAGGAGCTCTGTGCCAGGAACCAGAGATAAAGACCAAAATATGTATTTCTTATCCTATCACAGTGTCACAACACCAATTACAAGTAATGCTGCGAAAGCATTCCCTAGAACGGCCCCATTGTGCACAAAACGTTTAGGGGGACAGTCTTATGGGACTGAGCACTAACCTGTGGGGTCTGTGCTGACTCCAGGAAATTAATGTCCCAATTGAGTTAGTATCAACTGAAAATTAGAAAATTGCTTGGTGTGGAAAATGCACACATAAGGTGTCAGAAGTGTTGTGAGTACAGAAACTGGAGGAAAAGAAGTGTTTCTTTTAGGTGTGAACAACCTAAATACCCTTCAAAGGTTTAGATAAATTATGTTATGCACATTGTTCTCTGGGGTAGATTTTGAAACATGTAATACACAGTTCAACTATTAATGGATAATGCTAAATTACCCTACAAAGTAATATGGACTTACACTTCCCACCAGCAGTGTGTGAAAATATTCACTCACTCATGGCCTCTCCAATTCTTTTCACTACCAATCTCCTTAATTTTCACCAACTTGAAAGGTCGGTTTTTTTAAAAATCTGTATTTCCCTGAATAATAACAGAGTGAATACCCTCTCATACATTGACATCTTCCTATTTGATTGCTCACCACTTCTTATTCTTTATCCACATTGCAACTGGGCAGTTTGTCCTTTATGTCTGTTTCAAAGGATGTTCTTGAGATAGTGCACAAATTTTTTGTTATGTAACATGCAAATATTTCCCCCAGTCTTTTAATTTCAATTTGTATCATATCATAAAAGGTTTCTTTTTAATGAATTTAAATGTATATATTTTTTTCCTTTATGGCATTCATTTTCCATACCATGTTCAGGACTTGACCTAGCCAAAAGCCATAAAGAAAATTTTCTATATTTTCTTCTAATGCTTTTATAGGCTGAATTATATCTGGGTCTTTAAACCATCTTGAATTTTTTTGTGTGAAGTATAGTTCTATTCTTTTTTTTTTCAAATGTAAACAGGCAAATTTTTAATTCCTCTGAGTCTCAGCTTCCCTAGCTGCAAAATGGGTGTAATATTTACCTCATACATGCTTTACTAAGGTTAAAAAAGATTATGTTTTTAAACTGCCTGGCAGAGTCCTTGGTATATAATAAACGCTTGCCACATGGCAGTTGGATCTGGAAATATATTTAATATATAAATAAGTTTTATAGCTATGTGAAATATATAAGAATAATTTAATAATATATTTAATTAATATAGTATTTAACAAAAAGCAGGACCATCAGCTCAGATCATAAAAACTACCAGTCAGTCCATACTGGAGAAGTTCACTTTCTATATAACAACCAATAGGTTAGTTATGTATGGAAACCATGGCTACCAGACATTTTGATTGCTTTTGGAGTAGAAGAGGTACAGAGGAGTTTTAATATTTATACAGCATTTATTATTTGGCAGGAACTGTTTTAAGCACCATATAGGTGTTCTTTCAAAGAACCTTCAAAATAATGCTATTAAGGTATTTTATCTCCGTTTTACAAATGGGGAAATTGAGGCATGAGAGGTTAAATAACTTTCGTGAGGTTACGCGGGCAGTTACTAGTAGAACCAGAATATGAGTCTAGGCAGTTTGTGCTCTAGCCACAAGGCTAAGTGCCCCAGTAAAATCCCAACATGTAGATATTATTCCCTCAAACAAGAAAAGTCCAGACTCAGAGAGGTAAAGTAATTTGTGCAAAGGTCAAAACACTGGGATAAAATTAGTCTGACTTTAACGACTAAGTCTTTCCATTCTCTACACCACCTCCAACTGGAGGAACTCTGACTGCCAAAATGCCTTGTCCTATGAACAGCAAACCTTCTCTGAGTGTCTACCGCAGGCCAGGTCCTCTGCCGGAAGCCAGGGACACAGAAATAAACACATCACAGGTGCCACCTCCAAGTATACACAATCTACTATAAAAACAGAGAAGAAAGGAGCCTAAGTCAGTTGAGGGCAAGATGGGGTGAGGTTGGCGAGAGAATACTTCTTGGAGGCGGTAGGCTATTTAATGTCTGGGCTATTTAAATAAGTCCAAACAGAGAGGGGTGATCTTCAGCATACAGAAGAGTAGGGGGCACAGAAGAACACACAGTATAAATCACCATTGGGTGGTGTATTAAATAACAATTCTCGAATTCCACAGGATAACCTTTTCACAGGAAAAGGCTTCCCTGGAAGAGTGAAGATGGGACAAAAAGGATGTATATAGAGAACTGTAGTATTTCAGCCTAGATGAAAACTTCGACTGCATGAAAGCTCATTTGGAACTTGTCCTTAGTCCATCTTCAAATATTGATAGTGGATCTAAGGGTCCTTCTTCAGATGCACTCCCAATATTCCTCACAGCAGGCACGTGATGAAGACATGATAAAAATTCACTCTACCTAAACTTCACCTGGGAAATCCAGGACTTGGCAAAATCAAGAGAATTCCTCTCAGGGGCGCCTGGGTGGCTCAATCGGTTAAGCATCTGCCTTCGGCTCAGGCCGTGATCTTGGGGTCCTGGGATCGAGCCCCACATCCGGCTCCTTGCTCAGCGGGAGCCTGCTTCTCCCTCTGCCTCTGCCGCTTCTCCCAACACCCCCCAACTCATGCTCCGTGTCCTCTCTCTCTCAAATAAATAAATATTTAAAAAGAGAATTCCTCTCAAACTCATTTTTGTTACAAATAGTGCTGGATTTGCAATTATAGACTCATAGACATGAACAGAATTGTAATGATTATCTACTCCGATTCTCTCCTTCAAGATGAGACTGAGGCTGAGAGAAGTAAAATTACCTGTCCCAGTGACCCGGTCACACACAGCTGGCAGAACCCACCTGTTCCGTCTTCAAGAAAGCTCCAGTGAAATAAAATAAAATCCATTTTATTTGAAGCTCAGCATCAACCCCACATGAGGCAGCATGGGGATGAAAGAACACAATGCTCCTTTAAAGAAGCAGTTTTCCATGTTATGGAGCCTCCGTGTGGAGAAGCTACTTACTTAGTCAGTCTTTCAATGGTCTGCACGTGAACATTATTATGGGTTTGGGAGAGAACAGCTTCGTGCTGAGCACATTTCAAACAAAGGCCACCAACACAGTTAGATATATTAGCAGCGAGAAGAGACTCTTTATGCTTTAGTCGCTCCTTAAGATCTTCACAATTTTTCTGATATTCAGCTAGGTCTTTCCTGAAAAGAAGGGAAAGAAAGTTCTAGCAAATGACCACGTACACTACGGCACCTGTATCATCCCACAGATAACTGCTACTATTACTTACGAGTGCTTACCTTATGAGGTGCTCTGTATACAATACCTGATTAATTCTTCCTGCAACCCTGAAACGTAAGTGTGATTACCCTAATTGACACTTTGAATAAAATGAGACTTGAATATATTAAATAATTAGCCCAAGTTCTTGTAAGATTTTAACACAGATTAGTCTGCCTCTTGATACCAGCTCTCTTTTCAAAGGATCCATCTCCATTATGTTATATCATCCACTGATCAAAAAATAAAACTCCACATACAAATCCTAAGTCATTTCTCCTAATAAAAAGGTGAGGCAACATAACACAACATCCTTGAATTGAGGGAAATACCCTATTCCAAGTGTTAACCCTTAAAATGTGTAGAGTACCTTAGAAGCTCATGGATTTCATCTGCGAGTCATTTATTGTTGCCCATTCTTTAGGAAGAAAAAAAACTAAAAAATCATCTAATCACAAAGTTCTATAAAGAGCTATTTCAAAAGAAAGTGGGCTCTCTTCTTTTAGAAAGAAGTTATATAGAATTTACCAGTCATAAAGATTCATAAGTAGCAGCTATTAGTGGGAAATATGCAGTCTGCTAAAAGAAAGGGCTGAGGAAGTGTGTGTGTGTGTGTGCGCGCGCACGTGTGTGTATCTACTTTGTTTTACCATATGCGATAGTCCCTGGATGAGGTTCTCCATGCTGACTTTTTAAGGATAAAATGACCAGTGTATGGGTTGTATTCTTGCCCCCACCCCTTCCCAGTAAAGCTTTGGTAAAGTCAACTGGGACAACTGAGCTTCCTTGCACACTTCCTTTCCTACTGTATATTATATATATATATATATGTATAAAACTTCCTAGCTTTCAAAAGAGAAAATAGCCCTTAAATACCTGGACTACTGAAAGCAGGCACTTTATCTCCAGCTCAGTCAACTCTGCTGTCAATTTCTATTATACTCAGGGAGCTACAGCTATCCTAACTCGCTATCACAGAAGAGAGGCCAATAATAAGACGCCTGGCTCTCACACACTACCTCCACTCTGGGATGTGGGGGCTTTCAGGCAGCCTTGAGGAGGTGAGAAAGATCTGCAGGTCATCTAAGGGTTAAAAAAGCTAAGCTAACAATAGTCTGAAGTGAAAAAAAAAAAAAGGAGCTGTTTTTTCCCTATGCCTGAGATAATATCTCCAATGTAATAAGTTTTCTTTTTAAATATCATATAGAAAAAGTCTGACTTTCAAAGGCTTTGTAAAAAGAACTTTGGAAGCACATTCCGAAATCAAAGGGTCTCCATTACTATTTCTGTCAGTTTCAAATTCAAAACAGTTAGGTAGATTACTCTAAATGGCAAAAAAATAAAAAAGAAACAGATACCAGAAAGCCAGAGCTTCTGAGAATGGTGGTTTTCTCTCTTTCTTAAAGAAAATGCCTCTTTAAATAATCTTAAGGTATACTAAAGGGAAAAGAAAGATGTAGAAGGTGCAGGGAACAAAGTCTAGTTCATTGCAAAGCGGTATTTTAATGTAATTAAAGATGGCACATTTGACTTATGAATAAGACAAAATAATCACATTGCCATTAGTTTAAAAAATGAATCAGGGCGTCTGGGTGGTTCAGCCAGTTAAGCAACTGACTCTTGACTTTGGCTCAGGTCATGATCCCAGGGTTGTGGGATTGAGTCCCACGTCCAGCTCCATGCTCAGCGTGGAGTCTACTTAAGATCCTCTCTCTCCCTCTGCCCCTCCCCTACTTGTGCTTGCTCGTGCTCGCTCTCTCTAAAAAACAAAAACAAAAACAAAAACTGAAGAATCAAAACACAACAGAAATCAAAATAAAGACTTAGATAAAAAAAGCAAGAAAGCAAAAATTAGGCCACTTTTTAAACATTAGGTTTCTTCATGAAAAAATAAAAGTCTCTACAGAAATCCTAAAACTAATCAGGCTAAGGTATAAAGTGAGTAAGAGCATATTAAAAAATGAATGATGATGTGCATGAAGGCCACGAGCTCTGGTTCTGGGTATTATTACTCTGCTTATGTCTCTAAACAATATGTGGCCTGAAGATTTTAAAGTTTATTGCAAATTAGACTTAATAAAATTATAAAAAGTATTTCAAAGTTTGTTTGATTGAAAAATATTTCACTGCCATTATTTAAAATAAGCTTCAACACCCCAAAAAATTCAATTCCTGGTATCTTTTTCTGCCCATAGTATATAATAAATCACTAAAGGTTAATCTATAACATATAGATTTTATTGGCACTTCTAAAAAAACACGTCAAGAAGTACACAAAAACTTATTCTGTGTACAGAAGTCCCCCCCAATCCACGGTTTCACTTTCCATGATTTGAGTTATGCAGGGTCAACCAAGGTCCAGCAGTAGATGATCCTCCTTCTGACAGATCATCAGAAGGTCAGTGGTAGCCTAACAATACGTCACAATGTGAGTATCATTCCCCCCACTTCATCTCACCCCCTGGGGATTTTAGATCTCCCATCATCTCAAACAGGAGGATCAGCCAGGACAATAAGATATTTTGAGAGACCACATTCCCATAACTCTTATTACAGTATTTTGTTATGACGATTCTATTATTAGTTACCACTGTTAATCTCTTACTAAATTAAACTTTACCATAGGTATGTACGTACATGAAAAAACAATATATATAAGGTTCAATACTATCCACAGTTTCAGGCATCCACTGAGGGTCCTGGAACGTATCCCCCATGGAGAAGAGGAGACAGTATACTCATATTCATCGTATATAGAAAAATACTCAAACTATTATTGTTACAATTTTAGATAAAAATACCTATAGAGAAAAAAAATGCTTGTTAATTTGAAAACTAGAATGTTTATTTTCAGTATTTTATTTCAAAAGCATAATTTCTCTCAGAGCAGCTAGTGATTCTTACTTCTATGAGAAAACATGAATATTTCATAACTGATGAAGGGATAAAATTTATAATTTAGCCATAGTTCTTTGAAATGGGATTTCACAATTTTATGCCCCTGTTCCTTTAATAACCTGAGGATATTTCTCATATTGAACATAAAATGTCATCAAGTAATTCTTAAGTTGAGTAAAACTGGTATGTCAGCAAACATTCAAATACATTTTAAGATCATTATGCTTTTGCTATAATTTTTAAACGGACAATGATACTTTACCTCAAAAACTTCAATTGAGATTCCAGGATCTCACCCTTTTCTTCATAAGTAAGTTTTAGCCTCTCCTTTAGAAAAGAAAACAAAAGGTGTACATTTTCTCCATGCCCTGTGCTTTATCAGTAAGTTTTAATTATTAATAGTAAACTCAATTTTTGTCCTTTTACCCAAGAAGAAATATAATGTGTCCTCTCAAGAAACACTTTCCCTAGTTCACCCAAACTTTTGTACTTTTATTGAGTGTATACCCACCCACTTTTTGTGGACTGAATCATAAAATGGTTATTACTGCCCCCCTGCAAATTTTTTTCAAAAATGCATACATTAGATCTTACTTTTAAAAGTATGACTCTGAGAAGAACCAATTTTCACCTATAAGGTTCATGAGGGCAAGGATCAAATCTTACTGGAATCCCCCACTGTGATTGCTGTGTATTGACATACAATAAAGGAGTGCTGGATCAATGATAAAAGGAAAGTTATAAATCACAATAAATGACAGACCAAACGGATGTACTAGCTACAATGCTGGCATCCCACTAATCTTTCATTCAACAAATATTTATTGGGTATCTAAGATGAAGATACCTTTAACCTCCAGGAGCTTATATTCTCAGAAGGAATAGAAAAACACAGAGACAATTTCAATTATATATTTCACTCCAGGGAGGTATATAGAAGGTAAACTGAAATCAGAGAGGCAGGAACTTGTAATTCAGCTTAAGAGAAATAAAGAAGGCTTCCTGGAGGAAGCACTAATACTTAAAGGATTAACTTCCAACACAGCAAAAGGCACAGAGGCTGAAGAAAACATGTTGCATGTTTGACCAGTGAGTGGCTCTGTATCCACTTACAAATACAATGCTAGATGGAAGAATGGATAGAGATGGGTGAACAGGTGAGAATGGGCCATGAGAAGAAAAAATATACAAGACCTTTACCCAGACAACTCATGTAATCTCCATGTAGTAGAGGCATTGGGTGGACATTGAAAACTCGATCAGATTTGAATCTTAAGTCACTCTGAGGTGTGGAAAAGAGGAGACCAATGAAGTACATTGCATCTACATAGGGAAGAGATATGCCCCTACCCACCCCTGCTTGTGCTCTCTCTCTCTCTCAAATAAACAAATAAAATCTTTAAAAAATAAAGGATTAGATGATATAATATCATAAAGCTATCTTCGGGATGCCTGGGTGGCTCATTGGTTAAGCGTCTGCCTGCCTTTGGCTCAGGTCATGATCCCAGGGTCCAGGGAAAGAGTCCCACACCGGGCTCCTTGCTCAGCGGGGAGCCTGTTTCTCCCTCTGCCTGCCGCTCCCCCTGCTTGTGCTCTCTCTCTCTGATAAATAAATAAATAAAATCTTTAAAAATAAATAAATAATGATATCTTCTCCCCCAAGTGACTTCTAGCAATCAATCTCCATCAAAAGACAATCTCAATCAAAGCCTCATAATAGCTTTCTGGAACTTGACAAATTAATTATTTTTTTTAAAAGATTTTATTTATTTATTTGAGAGAGAGAGAGTGAAGAGGGTCAGAGAGAGAAGCAGACTCCCTGCCAAGCAGGGAGCCCAATGTGGGACTTGATCCCAGGACTCTGGGATCATGACCTGAGCTGAAGGCAGTCACTTAACCACTGAGCCACCCAGGGGGCCCAACAAATTAATTCTAAAATGTATTTGGAAATACAAAAGGCCAGACATAAGACACTTTTTTTTTTAAGATTTATTTATTTATTTTAGATAGAGAGCGAGCATGAGTGGGAGAGGCAGAAGGAGAGGGAGAGAAAATCTCAAGCAGACTCCAGGCTGAGTGTGGAGCCCAACATGGGGCTCAATCTCACAACCCTGAGATCACAACCTGAGCCGAAACCAAAAGTCAGATGTTCAACCAACTGCACCACCCAGGTGCCTCCAGAAATGACACTCTTGAAGATAAAGTACAATGTTGGAAGATGTGGTATGTAGTCTACCAGGTATAGAGCTGTAACAATCAAGAGAGGATGATAGTAGCACAAAGACCAAAGAAATAAAACACAGAGCCCAGACATATATGTACACCTGATTTATGACAAAGATACCAGACAAAGGACTGTCTTTTTGACAAATGATACTGGGATATAGATAAATAACCATATAGGAAAAGAACAAATTATGACCCCCTACACAACACATCATATACAAAATAAAGACTGGTAGATTGTAGATTTAAATGTTAAGAGCAAGACTATAAAGTTTCTGGAAGATAATATAAAAGAATATTTTTATGACCCAGGGCAGGGAAACATTTTTGATAAAGGATACAGAAAGCACTAAACAATAAAGGGGGAAAACTGAGATTACATTAAAATTAAGAAATTTTAGTCATGAAGAAAGAAGAAAGAAAAAGAGACAGAAAGAAAACTATCAGGACAATTATAAGGCAAGCTACAGAATGGGAAAATATATTTACAATAGATATATTCTAAGGGTTTATACCCAGAATACATAAAGAATTTAAAAAAAAATGTCAAATAGCTCAAAATAATGAGTAGGATGTTTGAACACGTACCTTACAAAGGAGGACACCGATAAATACGTGAAAAGATATTCAATCTCACAATTGAATCATCAGAGAAATTCAAATGAAAATCACAATGAGATAGGACTACAAGCCCACCAGAAAAACTGACAATATAATGTGTTGGCAGGAATATGGAGCAATCGTATCACTCCTATGCTGCTATAGAGTGTAAACTGATAAAATCCACCCAAAATGCTCACCCTAACCATTCAATGTGAATATACACATACCTCAAGATCAACAATTCCACTCCAAGGTACACACCCAACATAAATGTGTGTCATGCACACCAAAGACATATTAAAGAATGTCCATAGCAGCAATATTCACAATAGCCCCAAACAGGAAACAATACAAAAATCCATCAATGGTAGAATAGATAAGTGAATTGTAGTATATTTATACAGTAGATCCACCAGTGAAAATGAACAAAGTTCTGCCACATGCAACAATGTGTATGAATCTAACAAATGTAAGGTTGAACAAAATAAGCCAGACATAAAAAAAATACATACTATGTGGCACCATTTATACAATGTTTAAAAAAATAGGCAGGTATCAACTAGTGGCTAGAGATCCTGCTTAGGAAATTTTCATGAAAGTCAAGTGATTAGCTCTAAGGGAATGAGGGGCAGTGATTGGGAGGGGTCACAAAGAGGGCTTCTGGGACAGGGCAGTGCTACACATCTTACAGGTGACAATTACATTTGAAGATAAATAATTTGAAGATAAATCATTAAGCTGCACATTTTTGTTTTGCATACTCTTCTGAATGTATGTTAAATTGGGTCATTAGACAAGTAAAGGAGGAGAGCATGAGCAACTAACCAACGTATTATAGAATGCTGCCACAAGGTTCAGGAGGATGAGGACTGATATGTGGAGGTCATTAATGACCCTGAAAAGAACAAATGTAGGTCAATATAAGGTCTAAGCTCAACTGAAGTATGTTAAAGAGAGAAGGGGAGGTGAGAAATGCAATTGTGAATGTGGACAACTGTTTGGGAAGGTTTTGGTATAAAGGGGAGCAATACGGTTGGGTGATAGTTTAAAGGGAATGTACGGTCAAAAGAATATATTTTGTACTTGTTTGCTTTAAGATGGGAACTATAGATCATAATCTCAGGATCGTGAGACTGAACCCCATGTTGGGCTCTGCGCTGAGCATGGAGCCTGCTTAAGATTCTCTCTCCCTCTTTCTCTGCCCCTCCCCATTCCCCACTCGAGCACTCTATTTTTCTCTCTCTTAAAAAAAAAAAAAAAAGGTGGGAGATAGTAAAGCTCATATTCTGGTGAGAATAACCCAGTCAAGAGGGAGGAAAGACATAAGAGCAAGAGGAGGTAAGTCCAAGAGTGAAACCCTTGGAAACAGTGGGGAAGATCTGGGACACAGGGCACACAGATGCAGGGACTGACCTTTGACACAAACTGCATACAAATGAATCTCTAACAGTTATAAACACAACATTGAGAGGAGACATAAGAGAGAAATTAATTCTAATGTGGGTAAAGGAGAAGTGGAAACATGTAATCGGGGAAGGTGGAATGGGAGGGGGTGTCTGAATGAAGCCTTGCAGGCTGGAAACATTTTGGTAGGTAGAAGATAAGGAAACATTTTAGGTCAGGAGGTCTGCATAAACCACAGCCAGGAATGCAAAAAGAAACAGAGGTGGGTAATAAGTTTATGAAATAACTAAGGAGTGAGTGGTCTGTGTGCCTGCAGTAATACTTGAAAGACTGACAGAAAACAGAAAAAAACTATAACACCTAGAGATGATAATGAAACTGAATTATAATGCATCCTATTTTCCCATGGCACCCTCCATCTACAGTGTCATTTTTACATTTCCATCAATGTTGATCAATTCTGCCATGTCAAATTTAATGCAAAGAAAACTTCAAACCAGAGGAAGAAGAAAGGCCTGTTACAGAGATCAAAGGATTGGAAAGTATCATTTGAGCGGAAAATACATTAATTTTCAACTCTGGGAAGTGAGACATTCAAGACCAGCTGTGTATATGAGGGAATTCAGAAAGCCACAAGCATGCCCAGGGAAGACACATGCTCAGTTCCGAGAGGACCTTAAGCTTTCACCTCAAGCTGATCTCTAGGCTCAGAGCAAGCCCAACTACATGGTGAAGGAATGCCCCAGCACAGAGCCAATCAGCAAAGACTGGCAGAGATGGCTATTCTTTTTTATTTTTTTCTTTTTTGTGAAGGTGTTTTTTTGGTGGTTGTTTACTTATTTTAGCTCCTGGCATTCAAGGAAATTCTGTCAAAATTAGCTGAACATGAGCTAATGAAACAGAGACTTCAGTGATCACACACAATAAGGAATAATCTCCAAAAATAATTGGGAAAAGTCTCAAAACGAAAGGACAACATAGCCTTCAACAATACAAGAGATAAAACCCATGGGGAACTGGGCTATTGGATTTCCAGAGTTACCACAGTATAATAGTTCATTTCAATGCCTACTTTTCAACCAAAAAAAAGAAAAAAGAAAAAAGAAAATCACAAAACCTACAAAGAACCAGGAAAATATGGCCATTTAGAGGTACAGAATAAATCCAGAAACCACCCTTAAAAAATCTATAGACACATGGGGCGCCTAGCTCAGTTGTTAAGTGTCTGCCTTCAGCTCAGGTCATGGTCCCAGGGTCCTGGGATCGAGCCCTGCATCAGGCTCCCTGCTCAGTGGGAAGCCTACTTCTCCCTCTCCCACTCCCCCTGCTTGTGTTCCCTCTCTCGCTGTCTCTCTGTCAAATAAGTAAATAAAAATCTTTTTGTAAAAAATCTATAGACCCAGGCCTACTAGACAAACATTTTAAAACAATAGTCTTAAATATGCTCAAAGAGCTAAGAGAAAACATGGCCAAAGAACTAAAAGAAATAAGGAAAACAACTGTACACCTGAAACTAATATAATCTATGCTAACTAGAATTAAAATAAAAACTTAAATAAAGAAAATAAATTATAAAAGGAACTAAACACAAATCTGGAGCTGAAAAGTACAACAACTGAGATGAAAAATTCCTAAAGGCACAGAAGAGCAGATGTGAGCAGCAGAACAAAGGATCAGCAGACTTGAAGATAGGACAGTTAAAATAACTGAGTCTGAGGAGCAGAAAAAGAAAAGAATGAATTACCATATGATCCAACCATTCCCTTTCTGGTTATATGCCCAAGGGAAGTGAAAGTAGGGATGAAAACAGATACTTGTGCATTGATGTTCATGGTAGCTTTATTCACAAGAGCCAAAGGGTGGTAACAAACTAAAAGTTCATGAGCAAATGAATGGATAAACAGAGTGTGATATATATGTAAATGGAATATTACTCACCCTTAAAAAGGCATGATATTTTGACATGTACTACACCACAGATGCACCTTGAAAACATTATGCTAGATGAAACATGCCAGACACAAAAGGAAAAATATTGTTTGTTTCCACGTGTGTCAGGTACCTAGACTAGGCAAATTTATAGAGACGGAAAGTAGAAGAGGTTGTCAGGGGTTGGGAGAGAGGGGAATGGAAGTTATTATTTCATGGCTATGGAGTTGCTGTTTGGGATGATAAAAATTCTGGAAATGGATAGTGTTGTGCACTGTGATTGTATTTAATGCAATTGAGCTGTACACTTACAATGGTTAAATGGTAAATTTTAAAATGGCAAAAATGCTAAATTTAATAGTACGTATATCTACCACAATAGAAAAAGTACAAAAAAAGTAGACGCGTAAGAGAAAAGCAGCCAAATTCTCACCAGTTCTAGCTTCCATTTCTCAGCCTCACCAGCCGATGGACCTTTGACAGTATCTGCATTGTCCTGGGAGAATTGCCTCTTGGCAGCTTCATCCACCCCAGAGTCTTCACCTGTTGTAATCCAAGAATTCTGCAGGTTTCCCTAAAATAAAATGTATGAGTAATTACAACTGGCATTTAACTTTAAATCAACATACATGCTTTACAAATGGAACACTGATTCTCATCTGTGATGAAAGGAAGACAAGAGCAGATGCTTCTAAACTACACATCAAGAATGATTTTACATTTTCATGCTAATGGGTCATATTCCCCAAGTGTTACAAAGTCAGATTCCTACAGGCACAGGTAATAATGTAAATGAGCAAAGAGGGCTGGCTGACAGTGTTTCAACAAATGAACTTCTCTCTCACTTCTCTGGAGACATATATTCTTAAACCACACAACACTCTCTTAGTTTCATTTTCTACCTTTCATAAAGGCATGACTAATAATAATGTTAATACATATGGTGTTTACTATGTGCCAGACACTGTTTATGTGCTTCACATATATTAACTTATTTAATCACTATAAGAATACTATGAGATAAGTTTCATTGTTATCTCCATTTTATAGAAGAGGAAATTGGGGTGCCTGGGTGGCTCAGTCAGTTAAGTGTCTGACTCTTGATTTTGATTCAGGTTATGATCTCAGGGTCATGAGATCAAGCCCCTGGGCTCTGCACTCAGCAGGGAGTCTGAGATTCTCTCTCCTTGTCCCTCTGCCCCCCCACACCGTCCTTGTTCACTCTCTCTCTCTCAAATAAATAAATAAATAAATAAATCTTAAAAAAAGAAGAGGAAACTGAGTCACACTGAGTAACTTGTAAGAGTCACAGAGGTAGGAAGTAGCTAATAAGCAGCAGAGCTAGGATCTGAACGCTGGCAATCTAGTTCCCCAGGCCATGCCCCAAACCACTATGCTCTCCTGTCTTTCCAGAAAAATATTTATCTTCAATAAGAAAAACAGTGCATGGAGATAAACAGAACTGACATACAGCCTGCACGTCAAGGACTCACAAAGGAGTGGTAGGGACGATGACAAATGATCTGAAAGTTGCAGCCATTACTCAGTTCCAGGCACTTGCTGCCATGTGTGAATGCAAACTCATGTTACAAAAAAAATCTTCTCATTTTTTTAGAAGATAAGCCAGATATCTGGCTTTTCATCTGAAACACTGTTAAATACTGGTTCATTGTTCATCAAACAAAACATGCCTATAGACCACATCTGGTGTATACCCATTGTGTTTGCACCTCCGGTACCCTCTCAACATTCAGCAAAATATGCAGCCCGAAGATCTGGGTAATTTGTGTGTACAAGGGCTGAAATATTAATTTAATTCAACAAATAATTACTGAACTCTTGCTAAGGGCTAAAGGATATGGTAGTACTCACAAGAGAGGACAGGTCCCAAACACAGAACTACACCGCAGCGCCATATCATGCTAGAATGAACTAAACTGCTCATTCATCCCAAGTAGTATTCTGAGGGCCTATTCCATATTCTTCTGGAAGTTCAGTTTAATGCAAACATTTGTGTATGATAGCTCCTATGTTCAGGCACTGTGCTAAGAGCTTGGGGGGTAAAAACGAACAAGACCAATCTTATCCTCAAGACAAACTCCTAAGCAGATCATTTCAATTTAATAAGGTAAGTGTTAGGCCAGAGGTGTGCATGGGGAACTATAGGAAAACAAAGGAGGGGCACTAAGAACAACTAGAGATTCAAGGAAGGTTTTCTGGGGAAGTGTTGACATTGGTGTGATATCTTGGATGAGAAAGAGCAAGCTAGATGAGAAGAGCATGCCAAGAAGAAAACATTATGGGGAAAGTCACAGAGGTGTGAAAAAGTCTGGTGCCTACAGGGGACTCATGCAATTCAGAATTACTAGAGATTGAAGCACAAAACAACAGACATCAAAATGTCAAGCTAGGGAGTCAAATAAGGATCTGGAAAATATGGTATAACAAGCTTGAACTTGATTTTCTAGTAAGGACAAATGTCTCAAGATCTTAGTGCAGTCAAAGTTGCCTTAGAGAATTGTGAGGAATGGCAGCACTAATTTCCTATAGAGAAATTGGAAAAAGTACATACACCATACATCGCTGACTTATGAAATAAAATATTGTCATTCTTTGGAAAGAAGTGCTAGTCTAATTGACACTTTGTGTTTCACAGATAACATTTAAGAACTTTAATGGTATTTGACCAAAATTTAAAAAATCTAATTATATTTACATCCCTGGAGATCACTGAAAACCTTTGATTTCTTAATTGAGGGGAGGGGTGGTAGTGAGAGGATGAAAGTAGACATGAAAGATATGACTCAGAAACGTTCTGCTTTTAGAAAAATCTCTGAGATCTTTGAATGAGAACATATGCCAAAATTTTTTTTCTTTTTTTTTAAGATGTATTTATTTATCTGAGGGCAGGGAGGGGCAGAGTGAGTCCCATGCAGACTCCATGCAGAACACAGAGCCCGACTCAGAGCCGGATCTCACAACCCCGAGATTATGACCCGAGCCAAAACCAAGAGTTTCGCTCAGCTGACTGCACCACCCAGTTGCCCCCAAAATTTCTAATAAATAGCATATTTTCATATTATTATAATTTTTTGAACTCCGGAGAAAAGCTCTCCATGAAGAGAAATTTCACTTAAAAAATGTTGAAAAATGAAGATGGAAATGGTTGTAGTTTTGAAAAAATAACCCGCTTGTTTCTTCAACCACTGGGTCATAAAGTAGTTAAAGCACTAAACATCCTGTAGGCTACCATCCAAGTCCAAGGCTAAAACTCAGGAACAATAAAGAGGATGTTCCTCTCTTGTGGGGAGAATCGTCTACCCCATGGCAAACAAAGGTAGTTTGGTTAAATACTGACAAGCTATTCCTAACTTGTGCAGAAAGTCTAACTCAAGGCTAGGCAGATGGATATGGGGAGTCAGACAGTCGTCCCATGTTTGAGTCCTAGCTTTGCCATTTCCTAGCTTTGTGACAGTAGTAGTGTTGCTTTGTTTACTTAACTGCCCTGTACCTTAATTTACTCATCTGAAAACAGGCATAACACTCGCCTTCCTTTGCTACTATAAAACTAAAATAATTGAATGTAAATAAAGTGCTTGATATAGTGCCTGACACACCGTAACATGTAGTCATCAATAAGTATTAGTCATGACTGTATAATTATTTTAATTATTTTTCAAAAGAAGGCATTAAGAAATACTGAAAAATCTATACTCAAATCCGCCAATAGTTTTGGCAAGATCTACCATCAGCATGGTAACAGACTCAGTAAAAAGAGTTCAGAAAAAAAAAAAAAAGATAATGTCTCTTGATGTGTTTATATTTAAGATACTCTAAAAAGTTTCATTTACATTAAAACTGAAGACAGCACTGAGCATACACTGCTGAAATGCCTCAATTCACCTACACAAGCAAAAAGCAGTAGGGTTAGTAATTTTTTTTTTTAATTTTATTTTATTATGTTATGTTAGTCACCATACAATACATCATTAGTTTTTGATGTGGTGTTCCACGATTCATTATTTTCATATAACACCCAGTGCTCCATGCAGTACGTGCCCTCCTTAATACCCATCACTGGGCTAACCCATCCCCCCCACCCCCATCCCCTCTAAAATCCTCAGTTTGTTTCTCAGAGTCCATAGTCTCTCATGGTTCATTTCTCCCTCCAATTTTCCCCACTTCATTTTTCTCTTCCTTCTCCTAATGTCCTCCATGTTATTCCTTATGTTCCACAAATAAGTGAAACCATATGATAATTGACTTCCTCTGCTTGACTTGTTTCACTTAGCATAATCTCCTCCAGTCCCATCCATGTTGATGTAAAAGTTGGGTATTCATTCTTTCTGATGGCTGAGTAATATTCCATTGTATATATGGACCACATCTTTATCCATTCATCTGTTGAAGGGCATCTCGGCTCTTTCCACAGTTTGGCTATTGCGGACATTGCTGCTTTGAACATTGGGGTGCATATGGCCCTTCTTTTCACTACATCTGTGTCTTTGGGGTAAATACCCAGGAGTGCAATTGCTGGGTCATAGGGTAGCTCTATTTTTAATTTTTTGAGGCACCTCCACACTGTTTTCCAAAGTGGCTGTACCAACTTGCATTCCCACCAACAGTGTAAGAGGGTTCCCCTTTCTCCACAACCTCTCCAACATTTGTTGTTTCTTGCCCTGTCCATTTTTGCCATTCTAACTGGTGTAAGGTGGTATCTCAATGTGGTTTTGATTTGAATTTCCTTGATGGCTAATGATGATGAACATTTTTTCATGTGTCTATTAGCCATTTGTATGTCTTCTTTGGAGAAGTGTCTGTTCATGTCTTCTGCCCATTTTTTGACTTGATTATTTGTTTTTTGGGTGTTGAGTTTGATAAGTTCTTTATAGATCTTGGATATCAGCCCTTTATCTGTAGTGTCATTTGCAAATATCTTCTCCTATTCTGTGGGTTGCCTCCTTGTTTTGTTGACTGTTTCCTTTGCTGTGCAGAAGCTTTTTATCTTGATGAAGTCCCAAAGGTTCATTTTTACTTCTGTTTCACTAGCTTTTGGAGATGTATCTTGAAAGAAGTTGCTGTGGCCGATGTCAAAGAGGTTATTGCCTATGTTCTCCTCTAGGATTTTGATGGATTCCTGTCTCACATTGAGGTCTTTCATCCATTTTGAATTTATCTTTGTGTGTGGTGTTAGAGAATGGTCGAGTTTCATTCTTCTGCATGTGGCTGTCCAATTTTCCCAGCACCATTTATTGAAGAGATTTTTTCCCATTGCATATTTTTTCCTGCTTTGTCGAAGATTATTTGACCATAGAGTTGAGGGTCCATATCTGGGCTCTCTATTCTGTTCTATTGGTCTATATGTCTGTTTTTGTGCCAGTACCATGCTGTCTTGGTGATCACTGTTTTGTAATATAGATTGAAATTGGGCAACAGGATGCCCCCAGCTTTGTTTCTCTTTTTCAACATTTCCTTGGCGATTCGGGGTCTTTTCTGATTCCATACAAATTTTAGGATTGTTTGTTCCAGTACTTTCAAAAATGTCATTGGAATTTTGATCAGGATGGCATTGAAGGTATAGATTGCTCTGGGTAGCATAGACATTTTAACAATGTTTATTCTTCTGATCCATGAGCATGGAATGTTTTTCCATCTTTTTGTGTCTTCTTCAATTTCTTTCATGAGTGTTCTGTAGTTCCTAGAGTATAGATCCTTTACCTCTTTGGTTAGGTTTATTCCGAGGTATTTTATGGTTTTTGGTGCTATTCTAAATGGAATCATTTCTCTAATTTCTCTTTGTACAATTGCATTGTTAGTGTATAAGAAAGCAACTGATTTCTGTGCATTGATTTTGTATCCTGAAGCTGCAAAAAATAGAAACAGAAGGAAAACTTCCAGATTCATTCTATGAGGCCAGCATTACCTTAATCCCCAAACCAGGCAAAGACCCATCAAAAAGGAGAATTTCAGACCGATATCCCTGATGAATATGGATTCCAAAATCCTCAACAAAATCCTAGCTAATAGGATCCAACAATACATTAAAAGGATCATCTACCATGACTAAGTGGGATTTATCCCTGGGATGCAAGGCTGGTTCAACATTCGCAAATCAATCAATGTGATAGAACACATTAATAAGAGGAGAGAGAAGAACCATATGGTCCTCTCAATTGATGCCGAAAAAGCATTTGATAAAATACAACATCCTTTCCTGATTAAAACTCTTCAGAGTATAGGGATAGAGGGAACATTCCTCAAGTTCATAAAATCCATCTATGAAAAACCCACAGCAAATATCATCCTCAATGGGGAAAAGCTGAGAACATTTTCCTTAAGATCAGGAACACGTAAAGGATGCCCACTCTCACCACTATTGTTCAACATAGTACTAGAAGTCCTAGGAACAGCAATCAGACAACAAAAAGAAATAAAAGGTATTCAAATTGGCAAAGAAGTCAAACTCTTTTCATAGACGACATGATACTTAATGTGGAAAACCCAAAAGACTCCACTCCCAAATTACTAGATCTCATATAGCAATTCAGTAATGTGGCAGGGTTAGTAATTCTATAGCAACAAAATAACAAAGACTGACATTAAAATAGGTATCAAGGTCTCCTGACACGTGCAACAATCATTGTTTGCATTATATTTTAGTTCACGTGAATGTTTTTTTAAAAAAGAAACACTCTACAACTTTGTTTTTTCCATAACTATGGCTGTAATTTTCTTCAGCAAGTTTCCTTTGTTCCTATAGCAAAGCATGTGTGTTGGTACACTGTTTCCTTCCCCTTCTGTATTACTCACTTCTCTTGCCCTCTGGTTCACTTGTCTGCCTAATTTCCTTTCTCACTTCACTTCCCCTTCTTCCACTTCTTTGTCATTGTACAAATACCGAAGTCTATGAATAATCGAGTCACTGCTAAGTGACTACATATTTGGAAGAAAAGCAAAAGAATATATTTTTAAAACGAGCTACTTCGAAGTACTTTTTATATGGCTCTATCATCTTCAAATTGACATTAAAATAATAAGCAACTAAAATGGAATTTTTAACTTGTACTAACATTGATAATAAATAATATCATAATATAAATATTCAAAAACCTCTTCTGGTGAAGGGACAACAGCTGGACACAAACTGAAACATACTTCAGAAAAATAAACTGAAATACTGATCAGCCCACTTTGCCATTCAGATTTAACACAATCAGCTACTTCTAAATAGGAAATTCTAACACAGAACTCAAGGATTACAAATGAGATATCAGGTCAGGTCAACAAAAAAACACTTCAAAATAAAAAATTAGAGGACACCTAGGTAAAACATTAAGACACTCATATTTTTTCTTCATCAGAATGGATCTACCAATGACAACTAAGTCAAAATCACCAAAATCCATTGTAAAGTAAAGCTGCAACAGGCAAATATTAACACTTCCCCATGGAAATCTGAATTTGTTTCAAAAAGCAGAACAAGCTGTGATTAACTGTGTCCTATAGCAAAGGAGTAAATAACATTTTTAAGGCAACAGTATCTCTGACAAGTCATAAGGAGACATTAAGTTTAAACACTACTTAAATATCATCACAAGAATTTTGTGTTGTACAATTAAAGACATCATCGAATCCACTGTTCTTCAAAATGTAGTGCATTGATACTAGAATCACTTAGGTAACTTGTTAAAAATTCATATTTTTAACTCAAGGACTTAACCCAAACCCACTGAATCAGACTCTCAGGGAAGGGAGCTCAGGAATCTGCACTATCAACAAGTATCCCAAGTGATTGTTACTCATGCTAAAGAGTAAGAACAGCTAATATGGGTGAATCTTCTCAAATTGCCAATAAACAGAGGACACGTGAGGTTAAGCTACTTTTGCAAGGCCCATAACATTACTCGTGAAACACCCCACTTGTTAGGGACGATGGGAAACTAACATGCTGATCCTGGTACCCTCAGGCCAGTGCTCTCTATGCCTCCCCATGCTGCCGATTAGACTTATTAGGATTCAGAGTGCAAGGACAATTTAGAGGAAGACAACAGAAATCTAAGCTATAGTTAGAAAGTTTCTGGATTTACCAAGGGTTTCCTATTTGATCTGCTTCCTGCTTTGGACCGGCTCTTTCCATATGGAAAAAACATAAATGGTATGTATGCTCAGAGAGGAAATTAGCACAGATATTCGGCAACGCTACATCATTGCATTTGAGGATTCATTCCACCACGGTGAATCTTAAGTTTTGAGGCCCCAAGTGAGTAACAGCACAGTACATTTGCCAAACTTCAAATCAAGAATTTCAGCAGTTCAGAAGGCTGGGGGAGAGGGTAGGAAGAAACATTCAAACTAAAATATAATTTATGGTTTGAAAAAATGCTCACAGATGCATTCAGAAGTGTTTGTTCCCTCATTGCTTCCTCTTGTCTCTGAGATTTCAGCTCTTGCTGGAGCCTTTCATTTTCAAGTACAACTACTTGTACCCTATTTTTCATTCCAGAGAGTTCCTCCTGTAAAAAGCAGAAACAAAAATACCAACTACATTAGGCATTTTTAAGCAGTGTTAATCACTGATTACTAGATGACCTAACATGATACAAAGCATGGAAAACATGGTCTCTATTCATTTTTTGAAATATTGTAATTTTACCTAGACAAATGAAGCAACTCAAACATTAGCTAACAAAAAGAAGCATGGGGAATATAGTAAAGAGCCTACTGATGGCCACATCACAGAAATGTATGGTTTCTGACAGTTTTTTTGTAGGCTTCCAGAAAGACTTTAATTAAAGGGGTTATCTAAAAAACTTTTAAGAATAAGGTAGACTTTTAAACAATAAGGTGAGATATATTATTACTCCTGCTCAAATGCTGACAACTTGTTGAACCTAACAGAGGATTAAAGGGATAATAGAGGACTCTGAGATAGGCATGGAAAGTTAGAATAGTTATCCACTGACTGGTAGCCAGGTGGGGGGAAATTATGAGTGAGATAGTTTGGTGGAGAGTTCTCAAAGAGTGCTTGTCTGTCCTTGCAGGCGTAAGATAAGGGATTACAATAAATAGCTATTGGGTGGTGTCTCACTCTCTGAAAAAAGGTAAAAAATATCAATACATTGACAGCACAATACTTCATTACCGGTGTAATAAAAAACTATTAAGCAATACATGCAAGTTCCACTTCAATTATTTCATTCAAAGAAAAGCCAAAACCCAAGTCTATAATTGAAAGCTTTAACTAAAAAAAATATTGCAGGCTTCCAATTTTTGGTCTGGAATATAATGAGCTTGGAAGACAACATTCACAACAAGAGAAAAGCTGGACACACCAAAAAACCAACCACTCTTCTTAAATCCAAAAGAGAACTGAGGTCACAGGGAAAACTGTCATCCCTCAAATTGGACAGACAGAGAGGTGTTCCTGAGAATCACAACCTACCTGAGCAGAAACTTCCAGGGGAACCAGTCCTGGGAAGGAAAAGGTAAAGTATAATTGGCAGCTCACGGCAGACAAGTTTGAGGGTTAAAAAAACTCCAGAAGAACCATCTTAAAGAGATTCCTATATTTTGTGAATTTTATCTCTAGGACACTACCAGGTTCTTAGAGCAAAGACTACAGAAAAATTCCTTCCAGCTTCCTCTAGTACAAGAGGAAAGGTGGCCACTTTGAAATATGCCCAAAGCATTTCTGTTCTTAAAAAGGCCTACCTCAAGAGAAAGTATTTTACCAGAGCCTAAATAGCTGGGGTTTTCCACAACCTAACTGCCCTGCCCTCAAGCGAAATATTCAACCCTAGCTCCCTCTAGGCTTCCCACCTCACTTACGGTGACAGGGTGACTGAGAAGCACTTGTGAAGGTAAAAGCTAAGGGGCACAGACTTGCTAAAAGACTGAGACCTAATCATAGGACTATAAAATGCTTCCCCTGCTCTCACACCCACCACCACATCAAAAGGGCGCCTAAAAAATAACAAGGGAATACACTAAAATGACTGCATATCTCAGACTATAGTTAAGAAGAATTTTCAAGGGAAGCCCAAAGACAGCAGGGGGGACATAAAGCAGGACACTAGTGGAAATTTTAGCCTCCGACAACTGTAGTAACACCAAACAGTAAACACAGCCTAACTCCTACCACAATAAACATAATGTCTCACTCTAAACAGTTTTTACCCACTACCTTGTGGCCAGCACTCAACAAAAAATGAGAAAGCACACTAAAAGACTTAAAGTACAGTTTAAAGAGATGAAGAAAGCACAGAACCAGACTTGAATATGGCAGCAATGTTAGAATTATCAGATTGGGAGTTTAAAATAATTATGATTAATATGTTAAAGCATCTAATGGAAAAAGTGGACCACATGAAAGGACAGACAGGAAATATAAACAGAGATGGAAACTCCAAGAAAGATCCAGTGCTGGAAATCAAAAACACCATAATAGAAATGATGAATGCCTTTGATGGGCTCATTAATAGATTGGACACAACCAAGAAAAGAATCGGGGAACTTGAAGAACTGCCAATAGAAATTTCCCAAACTAAAATGCAAGGAGAAAAAAGAATGAAAAAGAACAGAATATCCAAGAAATGTGGGACAATTATAAAAGGTGACAAAGAGAGAAAGGACAAGAAGAAATATTTGAAGCAATAATGACCAAGAATTTTCCAAAATGATAACCACCAAACACCACAGATCCAGGAAGCTCAGAGAACATCAAGCAGTATAAAATAAACAAAAAAATCTATACCTAGGCATATCATATTCAAACTGCAGAAAATCAAAGACAAATCTTTAAGGAAATCAGAAATCAGGGTTTTCTTCAGAAACCCTGCAAGCAAGAAGACAATGGAATGAAATATTTAAAGTATTGAAAAGAAAAAAACTCACCAACCTAGAATTCTGTATTCAGGCAAATTAACTTTCAAAGGTAAGGGGAAAATAAAGACTTTCTCAGATAAAAAAAAAAAAAGTTGAGGAAGTTTGTCTCCAGTAGATCTGCCTTGCAAGAAATGTTAAATGTTCTTCAGAAAGGAGGAAAATGATACAGGTTATAAGCTCAGAAGTACACAAAAAAGAAAGAGCATTAGAAAAGGAATATATGGTGATAAAACAAAATACTTTGTTTTTCTTTTTAATCTTAACTGATCTAACATATAACAGTTTGTTCAAGATCACTGTAGCAGCACTATATATAGTGAGTATAGCTTATGAATAATTGAAATGAATGACAGCAATGTTATAGAGGACAGGAGGGAGGGATTGGAAACACTCTCTCATAAGGGAATTGCCCTACCCATGTGGTGGTATAGAGCTATTTGAATGCAGACTTAGATTACTGATCAATATAATTGCAAACTCAAGGACAATCACTTACAAAAGTAAAAAAAAAGTTCAACTGCTATGCTAAGAGAGGAGAAAAACTGCAATCAAATAACAGGATCACTTAAAGCCAGAAAAAGAGTAGAAGACTGGAGAGAGAGAGAGAGAGAGAGAGAGAAAGAAAGAAACAAACAAACAAACAAACGAACAAGGGCAATGAATAGAAAACAGTAACAAACATGGTAAGTATTATCCAACTATATTGATATCCAAGCATATCAATAATAACTTTAAGTGTCCATGGTCTGAATACACCAATAAAAAGAAAGAGACTATAAAAGTGAATGACAAACATGACACAAATATATGTTGTCTATAAGAAGCCCACTTTAAATATAAAGACAGATAAATGAAAGGTAAATGGATAGAGAGACATACCATGCTAACATAAATCAAAAGAAAGCTGGTGTAGCTATATTAATTTCAGACAAAGCAGACTTCATACCAAACAAAAATATACGGGATAAAAAGACGCATCACATAATGATAAAGGGGTCAATTCTCCTGGCACATAATGATCCTTAATGTGTATGTGCCTAACCACAGAAGATCAAAATACATGATACAAAAACTGACAGAACTGTACAAAGAAACAGATGAATCCACTATTTCAGCTGGAGATTTCAAAACCCCTCTGTCAGTAATTGACAGATCCAACAGATCTTACAGATTGGCAAAACATTGGTAGGTACATAGTTGAACTGAACAGCATCAGCCATCGACTGGAACTAAATGGCATTTATAGAATATTTTATCCAACAAGAGAATACACATTCTTCTTAAGCTAAAACAGAACATTCACCAAAACATACCACATCCTGGGCCTAAAAACACACCTTAACCAATCAAAAAGAATAGAAATCATAAAAAGTATGTTCTCAGACCACAGTAGAATTAAACCAGAGATCAATAACAGAAAGATGGCTGGAACACTCCCAATATACTTGGTGATTAAACAACAGTTCTAAATAACATACAGGTCAAGGACAAAGTCTCAAGAAAAATTTGAAAATATTTTGAACTAAATAAAAATGAAAATACAACTTACCAACATTTGTGAGATACACAAAATTAGGAAAAACATCAGAAAAGAGGAAAGATTCCAAATCAATAATCTAAGCTTGTCTTAGGAAACTTAAAAAAAAATGGGGAATAAGTTAAATCCAAAGTAAGCAGAGGATACAATAAAAATTAGAGTAGAGATCAAAGAAATTAAAAATAGAAAATCAATAGAGAAAAGCAACAAAACCAAAAGCTGGGTCCTTGAAATGATCAATAAAACTGTAAGACTCTAGACTCTAGCCTGGCTAACTAAGAAAAAAAGGGAGAAGACACAAATTACTAACATCAGAAATCAAACCAGAGTCATCATTACAGATCCCATGGACATTAAAAGGATAACAAAGGAATACCATGAACAACTCTATGCCCATAAATTTTGTAATTTAGATAAAACGGACCAATTCCTTGAAAGACACAATCTATCAAAACTCACAGAAGGAGAAATAGTCTGAACAAGGCCTACATCTATAAAAGGAATTGAATCAATTGTTAATAACCTTTAAAACAGAAAGCACCAGGCCTGCCATTAGTTCACTTGTGAATCACACCAAAAATTTAAGTAACAAATTACACCATTTTTTTACAACGTCTTCCATAAAATATCCAAGGGAATACTTCCTAACTAATTTTTGAGACCAGCATCACCCTAATACCCAAACCAGGTGAAGACACTACAGAAATGGAAAACTAGAGACCAATAATATATCTCATGAAGATAAATACAAAAGTCCTCATCGAAATACCAGCAAGTTAAACGCAATGATGTATAAAAAGAACTATACAACAGGACCAAATGGAATTTATTCTAGGTATACAAGGTTGGTTCAATATTTGAAAAGGCATTAATGTAATCCATCACACCAACAAGCTAGAAAAATAATTTATGTTCATACCAATAGATAGAAAAAGCAAGTGACAAATTCCAGTAGCCATTCAAGATAAAAATTCTCAGCAGATGAGAAATAGAGGAAAACATCCTCAAATTCATAAACAGCATCTATAAGTAACATATAGCTAATGTCATACTCAATGGTGAGACTATAGATAGTTTCCCATTAAGAATAAG